TTGACAGTGTTTCAAACGTTCTCGGTCTCAGGTGGTTCACACAAAAACCTGGTGATGTCTTCTCATCCTCTCGGCGGGGGCTGAGGTTTCAGTTTCTGTTCTGCCTCTCTTCTTTTTCAACTCTCGATCTTTCTGATCTGAGAAGAAAAAGTCTCCCTTTCTCTCCCCTCTCTCCAAGCCTGTTTGGTATTCCCCAGATGGAGCGGTGAGCTACCACCCTCCTCCTGCAGCCTCCTCTCCCTCCGTTCCACTCTCTTTCCCTCTGACAGAGCTAAGTGACCTGTTACAACATCCTCTGCTTAGCATGGGTGCCACACTCACAGCAGCAAGGACAAGACTTTACAGGGGTTGCGTTCAGGACTGCAACCTCTCAGAACACACAGCATGTGAGGCGGGGCAGCGGGCTAAGGATCAGAGAGGGACGCTTGTAACTAGCACGACCCCATTATCAACTGACTGGACAGGCTGCTGGGACAGTCTGTTTCACTCACTAGGAAAAGGGACTATTCAAGGAAGCCATGTTGTCTTATTTTAGGATTAAATCGTATTCACTGTGATCAAAGATAAATAATCTTGTTGAGCACCATTTCAATTGGTTAATTAGATTAGATTCAAGGTTGCGTTTTAACCTTGTGAAGTTCCTCAACAGGTTTTCAGATCTTTCTCTGAGCTTCCCTTTTAACATCATTCTCCTAAATGGAGCTTATAAAAAGATCAAGCACATTTATCTTTAACTTCTAAAGTTTCACTAGTTTTAAAGGTCAGCTATGTTCCCATAAAGGCCTCCTTTTATCTCATTGAGACATTTTGCTGACACAGATTTTTGTCTGACAGCACATTTCTTCCGATTACTGAGTTTTTACTTGTTTGTGGAAGTGAAGGCACCAAACTCTTTAACATCATTTGAAACTCGCATAAAAATATGATGTGTATCTGGATGAGAAACGTGCGAATCTCGCAGAACGCAGTGTGATCAGAAACTACATCTGGAGGTGGTCTGGCTCATATTGTGATCAGAACTTAGCCAGGTGAAAATACAACAGGTACAGCATGACCCAATTGCACGCAAGCTGAAAGGTCATTTAACTCTGATTCCTGCGAGCTTAAAGCTCCTCCAGCCATGTGTAAAACTCTATAAAAATACTCTGCTATGATTCATATTTTGTTTCACATGGTTTTCACACATAATGAAAAAAAAAATCAAAAACTGCATCTGAAGCTCATCTCCTCTTACTTCCTGGTTGAGAAACCTGGATCAGGCCTTGAGCCCCGCCCACCACCTGCTTGCTCCAGGTGGACAGGTGAAAGAGCAGAGAGTATCAAGATGGTTAGAGGAGGAAACATCAGAGAGACTCAGCCACATGTTTGAGCCTCAGTCAGACCCAGACTCAGATGAGGAGTCTGTTGAGACCAGAACCAGAGACTAGCAGACGGATCAGAGCGGTTAGCACAGTTAGCATCTTTTATTTGTTTATGTTGTTTGTTAGCTTGTAACTGGCAGTGGCTGACACAGTGTTAGTGGTTGTGCTAATGCTAACTCTCTCTCTATGTTCTGACAAGGTAACAGGTTTATTTAGCCCCGCCCCCTGTCCCCACAAGTTGAGAGGATTGGTTCCTTAGGTTTGTGATGTATGAAACCCTGGCTGTCTGAATCTGTATTTATGAGACTGTCATTGGTTCACTGCAGTTCAAGGTGGAAACACTCATTCATGGTGTTGACTGAATATCATATGGATTTAAACAAGGTTAACCACTTGATTTTCATTGGAGGTCTTTAAACAAACCCAGCAAAAGCAGCAGGAATCTCCCCTCATAAAAAGTGATTTCAATATATATGAATGCCGTTCATGACACTGCTTCCTTTCACCCAGGATTTATCAAGTGTAACTGCAAATTCCTCTGGATTACATGGTATTATCCGGATAATGTATCCAGATACAGATCAGAATTTAATACCAGGTGTAAACGGGGCCTTGTGTTGTACTTCACACTATAAAAGTACAGTGTAAATGGGAAAAAAGTGTTTCCCATTAGACTGGGCAAAAGTGTTATGTAAAAGAAATCTTCCAGGTGTGACTGTGTGCAGGTTTCTGAAGTTGAAGTGAAGTTAGCAAAACTTGCAACACATCCTGTTACAGATCTGTTGAAGAGTGAGAATATCCCAGAACAGGTGCGCTATACTGCACTGTGCTGTGAAATGTGCCGAGGAAATACAAAGATGTGGGAGTCTGGTATTTATAGACTGATAACACGGCTCTGCTTAATTAATTACCAGTTTTTCCACAGAGGATTGTTTCAGGAAGGTTTTTTTTTTATTGAAAATGGGTTGTGCAAAAACAAAAGTTATGACTGACGATGAGTTTTCTCACTAAGGGTACATGCATGCTACAAGACTCGGGATATTAATTAGGCGCCAAAGTTGTGATCACAGTCAACTGTTCAGTATTATGGCGGTGTGAGAAACCCCTAGGGAAAATATGTGCTGAGGCAGACAATGGCCAAATACAGGGTAAATGTGAAATATGATTAAACCGAGTGCTTCCAAAAAATCAGGGGTTTTATTTTTGGAGTGAAAAACATTAACATTTTGAAGTCTAATAAAGAAAATAAGATCTTTTCCATCTGTTAAAACATAAATTACTGTAGGCAGCTTTAAACTGCCGGTTCAAACTGTAAACCAGATACATTACACCGTATAAAACAGGGTTTTTTTCTGTTCTCTGCGGTTTAAAAGTCTAGATCTTGGAGCATGCATGCACCTTGCGGAGCTGAAAACACACTTTAATACTTTATTCCAAACTGTACCGCAGTGGATACATTAAACAACTTCTACTGCATGTGACACGTGTGTCAACAGAAGAGATTACAATATGGCTGTTTCTCAGTTACTCTGAGATTAATTGGCATCCTGTCCAAACACACTGTGAAACGTGACTGAACGTGTTGTAACATAGCAGATCTAACTGTCTGATTTACAGAATCAACAGGTTACACCGTCTATAATGTTTGACAACAATCAACAATAAGGAACCTGCTCAGGGGGGAGGTAGGTTTCCTTAAAACAAGAAAATCAATCAGCTGAATGTTTTGAATTTCAAATGTCTAATGTCTCAGCTTTCAATTTACAGATGAGTCTGTGTTTAACCCACAGAACAGGAGTTATAATTCATTTTGGGTAACAGCATCTTAATTATTATCACAATATACTGAAAAATGAGCAAATGAAACGAGACAGGACTTGTAATATGAGGTTGAGATAACTGATGGTAAACAGGCCTGTTTACCCGCTGAAGATGTACAGACCTTTTACAATGTTGAAGATCATCACATTCTTTATCCTTTGTTCCCTTATCAGATCCTTTCTCATAAATATTACTTGTGTTGACATTTACAACACCATCAGAATACATCTTAATGAAGGCAACAAAGATTATACAAAACCTTTAATACCACCGTTTCAGTTCTGATTTTACTCACAGTACCCCGACTGCTACATGATTCAATCCACCGAAGTTGAACACACGACACACAATCACAGCGCATGTCTAAAGTAGCTAAGTGTATGATTGGGATGCGACACAGTGAGACTTTTTGGACTTTTCCAGGATCTCTGTACGTCTCTGAGGAGGTTTCCTCTCCTGATGCAGAGATTCAGCTGCACAGAGCCTCGCTGCGTCACCTCTCCACCACTCCAACATAACAAAAGACAAAGTCATATAGTTCAACAGTTAATTAAAAAAAACTGCCCATTTGGTGCTCTGAATGAAAAAATGATGAGTAGGAAAAACCTGGAAACCAATAAGGCAAATGTGTTCCAGAAACATACCAGCTACGTCTCAGTTTCTTGTTATTCATTAGCAAATATGCTGCAAAAAATATCCACTCTAACAAGAAATGTAATTAAGCACAGAGGCTCCAAATCATTCAAATTAAAAACTGCAACTTTTCCAAATGAAGTTCTGCATGTTCAATGAACTCTCTTGAACAATACACCATTAATCTTAACGTTCAGTTAAAGATCTCATTAAAGATAAAGAATCTCACCTTTAAGAGAAGGTGTAGCGTCTACCTGGAGTTTCGCAGTGAACAAGAAACAAAGATTCGGGAGTTTGGGATTTCATTAAGCCTGCTTTCTCAAATGTGTCTTGGACTGTGTCCTCCTGTCCAATCAGAATACAGAACATGGAATAATCCGGTACATAGCCTAAGAACATTCTGCAGGACATGGAAAATGAATACATGAAATAGAGCAGCCTCCGACAAAGCCGGTGAATATTTTGCCTCGTTGAATGCGACCCAGATAGGAATATAAATACGAGTTATCCCCTTCTCCCTGCACACAGTCATTACGGCACTCATCTAAGCCGCTCATTATGTAAATAAAGAAAGAGCAGAATAAGAGGGAGATGTAATGTGTGTGGGACAGAAAACATACAAAGGGTGCAGGATGCATGTGGAACCGAACGACAGGAGACAGAGGGAAAAAGACAGGAAGAGAAAAAGGGGAATAAAGGAGGAGGAAATGTAGAGAAAGTGAGAGAAGACTTAAAGAGGAAAAGGGGGAAAATAGAGTTGCAAACAAAGAAAAGCACATCTTTTTTTTTAACCATTAAATGAGTCATTACCAACCCAATGGAACTGTGTGAAACCCCCAAGGCTCCCGGTGCTTCTTTTCCTTAGCAAGATCAACACCATTACACAACAGCAACAACAACAGCAACAACATCTACAACAACAACGACAACAACAATTGTGCTATAGTGACACGGCGCCCAATATATAGATGATGCACATCATTAACACCACAGCCAGCTGCACATTAGCACACACTGTTAAGTCTGTTATGTCACTCAGTTTAGTGGCCGCGCTTCAGCTGCACCCATCAGGAAGCCAGGTGGTGTCACAGGGTGGGGCACGAACCCCCCGAGTCACTGTGAGCCCCAAAAAAAGTCGTCACTTGGGATGAATGGAAACTCGATTATTGTTGCCGGGACGACAAGTTTGGCCTTTTTTTTTTTTTCAAGTTTCAAAACGATTCAGGTGAAGCGTCAGAGCAGCGGCGACATCCACAGAAGTTCAACGTGATGAAGCATCTATTTCTTTTATTCTGGAACAGGAAGGCAAGTTTTGAATAGTGGTGTTTAGGAGTAGTGGTTTCGGTGTTTGCGGCTTTGCAGATTATGTTTTCTTGTCAGGTATAAAATACAAACAATGTAGTCACTCAGCACATAATCACACACTGGCAAAGCTGAAGAAACAAGAACGTAGCAATTAGCAGCATCGCGTCAGAGTTGCTGTGGTTTTGCTCTTTGCAGTTTTTTTTTTCTTCTTTTTTTTTAAGATTTTGTCATGTTTGGCTGACACTGAAAGACATCTGTCTCCATGATACAGTTAAACACACAGTGCACTATTGCCACCACAAGTTTCCCTTCATCAGCTTCACAACAACTTCATTTTGACTTTCTGTTTCCTTTTTATCATTTTTCTTTAAATCCTCTTTTTATAAAATGACACAGTTGCAGTCAAGCAGAGAGGATATAATCAATGGCATCTCTTTAATCAGGGTAAATGTTAAGCAGGTAGGAGTTTAGCTGATGGAGGCAATGTTGAATTATTTGGTGGTGAAGGGGGGGGGGCTGGCTTGGACTCCCCTCTTCCTCCACCACATCTCCTTTCTCTATTTTCAGCCCTCGTCTTTTCTTTCCTCTCCTTCGTCCTCAGACGTAAATGGCAGTCCGGGAAATGACAGAGCCATCTCTCTGAGACTCCATGTCGTCGTCGAGGTACACATCCATTTCCTCTTCGCCGCCGTGGCCTCTGCGGACGTGATAGGCCGGAGGCAGCATGTTCCCGCTTCCCCCGACTCCTCCGAACCTGTCATACTGCTCCTCTTCTTCTTCCATGCTGTCATCCAGGTCGAACTTCCTCCTCTCACCTTCACCCATCTCCCCACTAAGGAGGATGTCATGGGCAGAGGGGGGGTTGCCGGTCGAGGAGTGGTGGAGATGATGGTGGTGGTAATCGTTGGCCTTTTCTGTCAGAGTTCCCGTGGCGTCGCAGCCCTCCCGGTACGTGTAGATGGGCCCGTTGTTGTTCGCTCCGGTCCCGTTCTTGCTGCTGCTGTTGCCGGTCCCGCTGAAAAGCAGACGGGCCTTATTGCCATAGTCCCCGCCATTGCTCCCGCCGCTGCCCGTTGCTATGGAGTCCCCGCTGCTGGGGTAGCCACGCCTCTGCTGTCGGCGGCTGCGGGTCAGGAGAACGGCAATGAGCGTGACAACCAATAGCAGGGCCAGAAGGGAGCCGATGATGGCGCCCGCCACAACGCCGGCGCTGGGCGGATCCTCCAAGGCTTCTGCAGAGGGGATGGAGGGGTTGGAAGGAGGGATGGAAAAATGGGTGGAGGAAAAGAAAAAAGGGAAGGAATTGATGGCTGTTTTTAAGGAAGTCTTGCTCAGTGTTGGAGGAGGTGTTCACAGTTCTTCTTGTATTGTAAGTGTGCTGTAGTGATAGTAGTGGTGTCTTCTTCTACGTGTGTTACAATCCTCTTACAAGTGTGTAGTAATGTTCTTCTCAGTGTAATCCCCTGGTAAGAGTGCAGTCAGTCATTGCTGGGATCAGGCTGAATGGGACTCTCTCCCAGCGGCTCGTTGCGCTGCAGACATTTTGCTCTACACACATCTGTCCAGCTGCTGGCACTTTGGTGTTTTTGTGGCCCCGCCCCCCTTTTGCCAGCTGGGGAATAGCCTTTTACTACTGTAACGATCCTTTGCTCTATACTTCATGTTGGTGTGAGCCAAGTTTGCCTCTCCACTCTTGTTTCAGTCCAAGATTGAAACAAAAATGAGAGATGGGTTAACAGCAACAGCAGAAAGTGCATTGTTTTGTGCTGTGTGCTGTTTTTGCCATGGGTTAGAGGTGTCGGCCCGGCAGAGCCACACACATGCACGCACACACACACACACACACACACACACACACAGGACAGACACACAGGACAGACACACAGGACAGACAGGCAGAGGGGTTATTTGAATAGGGTCAGTGGAAACGAGCACACAGTCGTGCCTGGAAAATGCCACAATGTTTGATATCCCTGGAGCCCTCCTACTTCTACCCTCCGTTTCCCAGCCTCCTAATTATACCCACTCCTCATCCCCTCTCTCCCCTCTCATCCTCCCCATCCTCTGCTTCCTCCCCATCCCTCTCTTATCGGTCAGCTAGTCAAACCACGGGGCAGAGTGATCGCCTGCTGTCAGCCCAGGACTGAGTCCAGATCTCACTGATCAGCAGCGCACAAAGGTAAAAGGTTCACACTGTGGAGCGAGACTCGTGCCAGGACATATTTAAGAGGATTCTCTGTAGGAATATGAGAGAGAAGAGAGGCCTGGCTCAGGTAGTGTAGGATTTGTATGAGTGGATTCATGCTGGGCTACAAAGAGAAGAAAAGAAAGTGTCAAACCAGGCAAGGAGAAGTGTTGAGCCTATAGTGAAGGATTGCACAAGGCCAGATAATGTTTTTTCTTTTCTCCTGTGAATTGCATGCTGTTTCTTTGGGGTGCAGCAAGGGCAGCAGAACGCAGAACAGCAGGGGGATCTGAACCCCTTCCTGCTTTATGCAAATAACGGCGAGGTTGTGCCAGTACTCCTGGCAAACACAGCAGTGAATGCCAATCAAACAATCTCAGCTTGGCTGAATTGAGCACTGTGTGGGGTTACGAGCCAGGGCACCACCAGAGAGGGAAAGACTTTTTTTTTTTTTCCATTCAGTGAAATCAGGTTGGACATCAAATAATGATCTGTATGATGCTGATGAGTGTGAGGTATGCTTACAAAACCAGTGTTTTGGGGGGTGTCAGTATGAAGCGAGCCTGGAGTGAGAGCCTGTGATTTATACAAATTGTTCATTAAGAAGCGAGGAGATGAAAGAGGGGAGAGAACGAGGAAGACGTTTATGGTAGAGAGAGAGAGAGGAGCAGATGAGAAGAGAGGAGAGTTAAGAGGAGAGGACTTCAGTTTGATTTCAAACACTCTCGCTGTGGTCTCGCACAGCGATGCAGGAGGGTTATGCCAGGGTGAGACAGACGGGTTGGGCAGATGAGGCGGGGCTCTTGGGACAGGATATGATGTCTAAATTAGGGGACAGTGTCTGGTGATATCCAACTGAAGTGACAGAAGGCATTAAGGATGATGAATCCAACTTTCCCTGTCCTAGTTTCCTCTCTCTGCAAACTTACACACTGCCATGGAAACACAACTCGCAGGCCAACATGTTATTTATATTTATTGTGCCATTTATATTTTAAGCATTAGTGGCATTTATCAAGTGCCTCAGTGAGAGACAGTTGAATAATGGCCCTTTGTGGAAGGTCTTTGGAGGCTGTCATCCTTCTGTTAATCAAGTACTTTAAAACCTATTATTCTGTATAAGCTATGAAGAACACTGTTCCTACCAAGGTCCATTAGAGCTGGCGTGTTCATTTTTCAATATATTTCACATCACATGCAGGAGCAGATTGATTTTCTTTCCAGTTTCCTCTCAAAAGTCCAGAACTGAGGGATGAAAAGTGATATTTAAACAGAAATGATGTTGTGTTTCCTGTGTGGCGATTGGAAAGCAGCTGTCTCTTCCTCTTTGCTTTAGTGAATGGGTTCAACTTGGTTGAATACAGCTGAAATTGGCTGCTGTCATTAAAACGTGGACACTGTGTGCCTCAGTAACTCATTTGACAAATACATGTTATGAAACCATTTTATACTTTATCTTAACCTCACCGTTCCCCAACACTGAATTCTTCTGGACTTTAAAGTAAACTTTAAAATGAAGGCAGAAAAAATAATGATGTTAACATAATGTCTTTGCCATGGCTGATAAATTAGCATACAATAATTATCATTACATTAATAAAATACAAACAAACACACTTGGTTCTTGCCAACAGTTGGATGAGAGGACTGATACTAAGCTCATGTGGCCAGGTGCAGTAATTTCCGGGAATCGTATCATTATGGGGAGGTTGCCAGGTAATCACTAGAGACCATAAGTCACTGCGCCTGGTTACCTGTTTCCCCATTCTTCCAGTCTTTATGATAAGCTAAGCTAATCGCCTCCTGGCTCCAGCTCCACACACCTACATGACACTGATATTAATCTTCAATTTTACTCTGTGCAATAAAATTAATAAGCGTATTTCCCAAACTATTCCTTTAAGACATGACACAGAAAGACACACTCAGTGGAGCATGGTACACGGGTACATGTCTCCATACACAACATGTCATGATGCATGAGTTCAGCATGACACAATATAATGTTTAATGCCTTTTGAAAATCCTACAGATACATTTGAATCAGCTCCGTGTTGTCTGACAAAACTTATTCCAATGGAAACCACTAATGGGTCTGAAACCAGCGCCGGCAAAAATGTGCCAGATACATGTTCAACGTCAGTGTCAACTCTTCGTCCAGGGCCTTACGAGACGCTTTAGTAAACACTTTTCTGTGAACATGTTTTCTCAAAAAACGTGAAAAAAAGAAAAAGGCAAGACTATCGTTAGCAAGAAAATAGGCCATGCTTGTCATCCTGATTTCTCATCAACAGCAGCAGCCTGCCTGCATTAAGAAGCACGGTGATAAATGTCATAGAGAGAGGCAGGGGAGCTTATATCAGTCTCTGTATTAGTGTCATGTACATGGAGGAGATTAGGGAGAGGGAGGGAGAGAGAGAGAGAGACCCATGAAAACTATCCATTTCTACTCACTTACATTCACTGCGGTAGGGATAATCTAAATGAGAAGATTTGGGATGTGGAGAGGCAAGGTGGAAAGAGTTAGAGGGGTGGAGTGAGATAGACAAACAGGGGGAGAGAGAGGACGGAAGGGGAGGAAAAAAGTGGAATCTAAATAATCTTTTGTTGATCTCTTTCCCCACCTCTCTCCTTCCTCTCTCTTTGCTTCGTTCTCAGAACTGAAAACAGGGAGCTGCTTCAACAGTCATATAATAAGCCAGAGGCAGCGACTGCAAAAGCTCCACAGTGGGAATACTCATTAAAAACAGCTTTTGGTCAAGGACGGAACATTCAAAAATGTCTCCATGAATATGCTCCAAACATCAAAACACCTTATAAAAACTAAAGAAAGAACGACCGGACATCTGCCCTGGACAAAGGCCTCCCATTAAACACATGAGCTTTTTGTAATAATTAAAATATTCATTCCTTTTTTTTTTTTTTATTGCATTGAATTCCACTTTGACGAACACCCGAGACACAAGGTATACTATATTTCAGAGTTCTCACATTAATTCAGTTTTCAGTTTATTTTTTTGGCATTTCTGCTTTATGTCTATAACTACAGTAGAGAGAGACAGGAAAGCCAGGAGAGAGAGAGAGAGAGAGGGAATGACATGCAGCAAAGGGCCCAGACTGGAGATTTGAGTTTCTAACCAGCCAATGTAGCCACCAGCTTTCCAGGTAATAGCTAACTATTCTTAGCTAACCTGCTGAACTTACAGGATTATGAACGGGTAGATACAAGCTTGCACTCTCAGTTTTTAAGAAATGAATGAAAAATGGTTTTAATTTGCTGTGAGTTTGCTTCTTATCTGTGCTTTAAGCACTCCTCACCTTTGAAGGAATTCTGCAACATGAGCTTTAGTTACTGTATACAGACTATACAGACCTACTAACTCAAACCCCTGTGCTGACGGAAATACCCTACACGAGCTTCACACTGCGTTTGTGTTATATTTTGTGAGCTGTAGTAAAAAAGAACGAAGACATGTTTGCATGTATAAGCTGCGTGTCTGGGAGGCAGAGGCTCATAACCACAGCTGATGTAAGCGGGGGTGGGGGAGGCGAGGCCGGGGCTAAACGTTATCATGGTGGGTTAATGGGACCCAGAGGCAGCGCAGACTGGAAATCACAGATGTACAGTAGGAAGGAGGATTTAAAGGGTAACCTCTTTACTGACACAGCAAACTTAAGCTAAATATTTCACTGCTGACTTTGACAAGGGGCATTTTCAGGATTGAATCTTACATTTGATGTGGAGAAATAAACTGGTGCTGTTACCCTGAGCAGACAGGTGGAAACAAAACGTATGAAAGAGACACATGAGCTCCAAAAGAAGGACATGCGTCAATAAGGACTTTAACGGGTTACAATTTTCCAGCAGGTGACGGTGCACAGGAAAGATACTGGTGTAGCATCTAAACAGGGTTCTACATATGCAGCATCCGCCTGAATCTGATTAACATTTAGTCATGAATAACACAGTGGAGCAACTGTGCACATTTTCAGGAAAACATCTTGTTCCTCTAAATTGGACTATATGGCAAAGTACATCTCAGCTAT